CCCCCTCGTTGGCTCCTGTGTGCTCTGCTCAGACACGTCCCTCTCCTTGAAAAGCTCTTCTTTCTTATACACTCGAGTGTCTTTGAATTTGATTCTCTAGTCAACCCAGATAACACACGCTGCACTTCCCAGCAAGGTGTCAGCCTTAATGTACATGAATGAATTAACAACTACACCAATGTTCACAGAGCAACAAGTAAGGTATCCCGCCCAACATTGATCGTCTCTATCAAAAACTCAGCTATTATCTTCCATCTAATTTCCCTAACAGTAATTGTCAGATATTTAAACTGATTTGGCCTCACTTTCTCTCAGCTGGCAAGATTTTCTGCACACATGTACCAACCCGACACCCTTCCTTCCTGACCTTCAGGTGAAACAAGAACATAAAAAGATGCACCAATGTTTAGAAACAACACATAATGTCCTCAAGAAACAGTAGCTTCCACATCTTGGCTAAGCCACCGGAACATGTCCCTGGCCCGTCTCTCTAAACCAGTTCGGCAAAGGTAGACCTAGCAACTGCCCTTACTGCAGATAGGATTCTGTTCTTTTTTTCCTCCACCCTCCCCCACCCCTAAGAAAACAAACAAAACACTTGGCCCTACCTAAAAGGAGTTCAGGAAAAAAGAGGAACAATGTCTCATACATTTTCATAAATGATTAATAATGATGGGGTAGAGCCAGAAGACAGAGAATTAAATGAATCCTATTTGAAGACTGCAAAGCTCTATAAAAAAAATTTCTGCACTGCAGAATTCAGAACACCCTTGAACTCATCATATATTAAAAGTGACAGGGTTTGCAAATGGTCGATTCTGCTTTGGTAATGACCTGTCCAAAGCATCACTGGGTGGTGAGGAAAGCAGGGACTCCGGCATCACTGCATAGGCACACAAGGATTGTCCCTGGGATGTCCTCAGGGAACTCCAGCCACCTTCATTCTTCAAAGATAGTGTGGCAAGAGGCAGAGGGACAGACCTGAGCAAGCCTGCTTGCCCGAGGCAGCTTTACCTTGGTGAAATCACCACCAGCCAGGATTCATTTTCAGTCTTGCAAACTCAGAACCTGATTTGTCAGCACCTTCGGCAAGTGACATCATTGCTCTGGACAGATTCATACTATCAGGTCCCCAAAAAGGAATGCTACAACTAGTATTCTGGCTTGTTGCTTTTCCAGAGAAACATGTCTTCAAAGAGCATCAGTCACTCACATCTTCTAAGCACTGCATTCTCTCCAACTATGTAAACTAACTCTGTGGTTGTTTACCTAGCCCAGAATCAAGAGATGGTTGATTAATACTGTACTACTCCAGTTTTTAATGGCACCGGGCTAAGGTAGCCTCCCCCATGTCCAAATTGATGTATAGATTTAATGCAATTCCATTCAAGATATCAGAATAAGTAAACAGGTTCTAGAGTTTCTATGGACATGCAAAGGGTCCAGAAAAGCCTATCAATTTTGGAAAGAGAGAGAAGGAGAGGAAGAGAGAGGTGGGCCAAGTTGGAGAGCTTACATTATTTAACTTTAACAATTGGTATTGATGGTAATATTCTGTAACTTGTTGGGCATCTGTATTACAGGGATGTCTCCATTTGTCAGAAGTCATCAACAGCAACCTTAAAGTGTCTACATTTTATAGTATGTAAGTTTTATTCAATTTAGAAAATGGGCCAGAGATAAATAATGACATCTAAGACATGATATCCTTATTGAATTATTTAGGGGTAAAGTGGACTGGTTATTGGCATCATGCCTTTGCAGCTAAAAGTTAAACGGATTGAAGGATATATGCTGTCATTGAGTCATTGAGTGGATACCCTATAGGACAGGGGAGAAATTTACCATAGGATTTCCAAGACTGAAAATCTTTATAGACACAAACTGCCACACCTTTCTCCTACTGAGTGGCTGGTGGGTTTGGTTTAAAATCCTGAAAGGTGATATCAAGGTTGTATCCCCTCACCATGCTTATTCATTCGGTATGCTGAACTAATAATCAGAGAAGCTGGCTTATATGAAGCTGAATGCAGTGTCAGGATGGGAGGAAGGCTAATTAATTACCTGTGATAGGAAGATGACACAACCTTGCTTATGGAAAATAAAGGGGACTTGAAGCACTTGCTGATGAAGACCAAAGTAACATCATAATAAGTGGAGAAGGGGTTGAAGTTGTCAAGCAGTTTGTCTTGCTTGTATCCACAATCAGTGCTCATCGAATCAGCAATCCAGATCAAAAGATACATTGCATTGGGTAAATTTGCTGCCCAA